TCAGCTGCCTGCCCTCTCCTTTCCCTCCTCTCCGCCTTCTGGTCTATCTCTGTCCCTCTTCTACATTACTGTTTCCAGAACTTTGAATCAGTAGACTATTGTTCAAAGTTAACCTAAAGATGCTAGCCCAAAATTATCTTTAATTTTATATCTTCTTTCTTTTCTTGCATTTCTTTCTAACCATTTAGGTATGAAAGAGTTATTGCACTTTGTTTTGGAAGGAATTCCTTTTCAAATCAGTTGTATGGTGCATACTTCTCGTGGTTTGACTTTTTAAAAATGAACATCTATTGAAATTTTGGGGCCCAAAATAATGTTTGAATACAGCTGCTTTGTTGCATAATATGTTTTGCTTCTTCAATGGTAGGATTCCTGAATTATGGTAGTTTGCAATCGCATTTATCCAGAGTATTCAGAGACATGCTTTTTTTAAATTCCTTTTCTGTTTTAGCGGCAGAAATGATTAGCGATAAAATAAGAAATATCATGCAGGCAACTTATGTGGAACGTATATAAGTTTCTAGTCCAGAAAGATTCCCAGTTTGCTGTTGAAAGTATCTTATCAGTCAATAACAAAATGGCAAGAATGATTTCTCAAAATTGTTTTAATCACTGATTTCTGGGAAAGAAAGCAACATTTAAAAGGTAATTTTTTTAAGACTACATTGTTACTTGTTTTCAGTAGAATAGTGCAGTGTTAATTGAACAAAATGTATCTGTTTATTTCATAAACCATGCAAAAATGTAATTGTTTTTCCTAACTTTTAAATCTGCAATTGCCTTTCCAGTATTTAACTGGATGGATTGAAGTGGAGGATTTTAACTCATTTACGCATTTCAATTTGTTTATTATTTTATGACAGCTCTTTCAAGATGTACTTTTTGCTGACAAGATGAATTGAGTTTTCAAATGTTTTGCTGTCTTAATTGGTCAAGTGGTTATACCCTGTTCTTTTATCTCATTTTTGCAAATTCTCTGCTAGAATTGTTTTGTGGTTGAAGGGCTTATGTGGAGAACGCGTGGGTGTGGCATGGCTTAAAAGCAAGTGAGAGATCGATATAGAGGAGGCTCAGTGTAGGACGGGAGGAGGAAGAGCATCGTCAGAGAGGTGGGCGTGGGGGGGGTTCACACATATGTTTGCTCAATATGTGCTGCCTCCGATTGTATATTTGCTCGAAAATGTGCGTTGTAATCGTGTTGACTGCCATTGTAGAAAAATCGTTTCTGAGCATACAAGATCGAACTGAGCTGGAATTGTTTTCATAGTTCATTACTATAAGCGTCTGCTGTTATAAATTCCAATATTCTTAATAGACAGAGCTCTGGTTATAAATGTCTATTTTTCTATATAAGAAACTAGTGTGTAGAGTCTCTATTTGTGTGGGGAATGATATATGTAAAAATACAGCATACAATAAGATGACAAGTGATAATAGCTACGCAGGGAGCCACTCGCACTCATATTGTTATATAGACAAAAAATGAGTAATAATCATAACTATTAAGCAATACAAATTTTGATATAGATTACGGTATATCATGCTACTGCACTTTAACACATTTAATGAAAATAGGGATAATTTAATTCATTGAAGTAATAATTTAATTAGATCACTCATCTGTTGGAATATTCACGTTACTTTTTTACAGAAATACAGGAGAGACTTTGTCCTTTATGAAGTTTTAATCTCAATACGAATCTCTTTAGTAACACAGAGAGGCTGGTCTTGATATGAATTAATTATATAAAATGTTACAACTGTAATTCTATGTGAGAGAGTGTTGTTAATTTGAGAAATATATAAGAATTTTTAAGAGTATATAATTCAATATTGGATGTGGTAATTATGGTATATAACCAATTATAAGTTAGAATAATGAGTCATAAGATAAATGTCAAGAGAGGACTTAGATTGTTTATACACCTATGAGTTTATTTCTTTGAAATAGCTTTGTCTATGAAATTGCAATTGCATTTCGAGTCTTAAATATGTCTTATCATGTTTCCTTTAAAATTAGACTTTTTTAGTATTGTCTAAATTTTATAGCATATCGCTCTTTTTCAAGGTATGTCTTTTAGAATATTGAGAATTGTAATCTCTGAGGTCTGTCTTTCTTGATGAGGTGAGATAATCTCCTAGAGAGATATGTAGAAACACTAGGGTCGCTATCTGTGAACATATAGTTTATGATCAACAATAGCATATTATGATAGATAAGATAGTAGGGGGGGCTCAACATTTTCGATGAGCAGAATAGAATTAGGGTATAGAGTTTGTGCGCGCGACAAGATATTGCTTGCGTCCAATTCGCATTAGGTAATCGAGGATTGTCAATGAAGAATTAAAGTAGTAGGAGATTATTCTGGTCTATATCTGAACCTGAACTGGATGTAATTTGTGAACGATTAAAGGTCACGCACTAGTCGATGGAAATAGCCATCATGTGTGCATCCGCTCAATGGTATAGGTCGAGCAAACTGATCGCAGACAATATTTCAAGAAGTTGTCAGAAGGTGAGTTATGTATATTTTAATTGGCTCTGAAGAGTATGCAATGAACTCTTTGAGCTCGACTAAAATATTTTTCATAAGTTAGTATATAGAATTTTAAGGTAGAGTTAGATATATTAATTATCATACCATCAATGGTGAAAACAGGAATTTTCTCTCTTGGAAGGGGTGCTAATACCTAAGCGACTTTATTATAAGAGTGATATGTTAACAGTTATAAGATTTAGTACATTCTATTTTTTATAAATTATGTTAAGTCTATAAAGTATTATTAAAACTTTTATGGGATATTTATCACAACTAAATGCTCAATTGGTTGAGTAAACAGGAATTTTTTCTTCACTGAGGGGTGTGCATACTTCAAATCTGACTTGGAGTAGTTATACTTACAAATGAATTTTGATTTGGTACTGTTCAACATTTAAATAAAACTTATTGTTTGAGTTTAGAGAAATATAGTTGTAAATAAGTTCCACATTATATTTCTATAGTAGACTAATATCTGGAAATTTTGAAATATACGCGCGGAAGTGGAAGGCTTGTACGATGTGCGTTATTGCATGGAAGAAATTCTATGTTTAATACCCATCTCCTCTCATATTTCTGCTGAGATGTATATTAGAAGCGCATTATTGATGGGCGAGAGCATGGGGCATGGGCAGGTGTTGTTCAGATAGAAGTATTTTAGTACATATACTCTATACTCAACTTGTGTGAGTGTATACATGATTATATGTTTTATAATACTACTATGGTGCACTATATATTATGCAATGAGAAACACTCTCTATTAAGAATACAACATCACAGATGTATCATATAAGATAAAATTAAATAGATCTATATAAGGGACGCAACAGTTACACGAGTACAATGCTATGGTAAGTTGAGAGAGATATATAAAAATATAGTAATGATATAGCAGAAGAGATATTTTCTTAGCTGTGTATTCTATAAGGGCATGAGTACACAATATTGATATACGTGTATAAAGTAAGATTTGATTGTACTCACTTATACAACACATGAGCACATGTCCAAAAGATCCTAATTGGACGACCGCTATATCAACATAACAAACACAATAATACCCATAAACACTAACATAAAACAAGATAACCAATATATGACGCACAACTCCAATATAACAATCTACTCTGGACTATTTATGTGTATCGAGTCTCTATGGCACGCGATCTCTTATATGCTTCTTGGAGTTGTTTGCGCAGCAAGACTCACTTTGAGCGTGTTTTTGAGCTGTATACTATACTGTGCTTTAGATTGCTATTGCAGGTAGTATGGGAAGTGCTATATAGAAAGACATTATGACGCGAGGAGTATGAGAAGCAAAACATGCACGCCTACCCATGCACAGGGAAACTGTAGTTGGTCACCATGCAACCGAACCTACTGGAGTCACAGCTTGTTGAAGACGTCTGGAACACTGGATTACAGTCGCTATTGTAGCGTCTGGAGAAACAGCCAGCTTGAGCTCTCGAGCCTTGCTTCCAACTGGTCTAGAGGTGAGACCGTAAATGACAAAACTATAAAACTTACACTCTACCAGTCTCTTTGTTTCTTGCCTTTCCAGTGGAATTGACTTGTGGTTCTGTCTTGCAACCCGTGGCAGCTGTTCCCTGCTGAGCATGCTTGTTATAACGTACAAGTGCTTCACTTGAAAGCAAAAACCTGATATTAGTCAATAATATTTATTTCAAAAGAAAAGCAGGACTTATGATAATTGGATGGGGATGACTAACAATAATGAGGGAATGATATGTCATATTCAACTGGCCAAAAAATGCTTGTGATTTCATTTTCAGTGATAGTCCAAATCACATGTTTAATACACAGAATTGTAAGTCTGAAACAAAGAGGAAGTTACAAAATATCAACTTACTGGGATTATTTTTGTGTGGCACATAGGCCAATAGCGCATAACAAACATAGGTAAGCACAGCACTCAGAAGACTGTTATTTTCTTTACATTTTTTAGCAACTTTTGTTTTGTTTTGCTCTCTGCAGATAAATTTTGCCAAGGCGATCATCTAACATACTTCTTCTGAGTGCTGTGCTTTACCTATGTGTTATGCGCTATGCCTATGTGCCACACAAAATAATCCCAAGATAAGTGATATTTTGTAACTTCCTCTTTGTTTCAGCACTTACAATTCTGTGTATAAACATGTGATTTGACTATCACTGAAAATGAAATCACAACAAGTTTTTGCATGATATGACATATCATTCCCTCATTATTGTTAGTCATCCCCATCCAATTATCATAAGTCCTGCTTTTCTTGAAATAAATATTTTGACTAATATCAAGTTTTTGCTTTCAAGTGAAGCACTTGTACGTATAACAAGCATGCAGCAAGAACCAGCTGCCCGGGTGCAGACAGAACCACAAGTCAATTCCACTGAAAGTCAAGAACAAAGAAGACTGGTAAGTGTAAGTGTATAGTTTTGTCATTCTCTAGCACTCACCTCTAGCACCAGTTGGAGCAAGGCTGAATTCACCTGCTGTTCCAGACGCTCAAGTGAATCAGTGAGGGTTCCAACTAGCAGTTCCTGCATGGGAGGCAGTTCCTTTGCGTATTTTTGCTTCAACTCCTCAAATGCTCTAAGCACCTAAGCAAAAAAGTAAGTAAGTTCTCCAACACCAAAGCTTGTGGGCAAGACTCAAGAAGAAGCCTTGAATGGAGTCCCTATGTACAGAGTTTAGATGTTTTGGTATTTGTTTTGTTTTTGTATGGGTAGAGTATAGCTCCAATTAGGATCTTTTGGACATGCCTTTGAAGTAAAAATACTCTTACACATTAAATATGTTCTAATACCAGCAGCTGCTTTCTCTTTTATCTATTTTTAACTCACTTTTTTTATGTATAATTGTGCCTAGATAATTAAACTTTGTAACAGAGTGTATTTCTAAATTTTCTCATAGCATTATATGCAATGAAATAAATGATAATCATCATCACATAGGAGAGGGAGGGAAAGATCTCATGGAACACCTCCCCCCCCCCATCAATGGCATATATTCACGAATATAGATTTTACTAATTTCCCATAGTAATGAAAGTCATTCAGTATCTCAATTGATAGCATTATAAATATTGACAATACATTTATAAATCAAAATAGTTTTTAAATTTGACACAAATGAAAAATTCTTTTAAGTAAACATCAAGTCAGCTAGGTATAGCACCCCTCCAGAGAAAAATTCTGTTTTCACCATTGAGTGGTATATATAATATCTTTAAAATTATATTTTTAAAATGATTGCATAGATCATGCTGTTCTTCACTATTAATATACATAACTCACCTTCTGACAACTTCTTGAAATATTGTTGCGATCAGTTTCAACAGCAACATGTGCTATAGACATTGCATGACAAAGAACTTCATCTACGGCTACCTTTAATTCTTCATTACATCCGGTTAGGTCAGAAGACAGAATATCTAGGGCAATATCCATCTTCTGCACAAATTGGCCCCCACACTCTATATTATGTTGAAATGTACCCGTGCTATTTTCTACAGCTTTTTCTAACTCAAGAAAGCACCAGGTCATTCTCTTAGAGACATACCTGAAAAGAAGCTGTAAATAATTCAAATCAAATGTAGCATTAATAAATGCAAATAAAACATTTAAAGGAAACAATTAAACATTAAGTCATTGACATGTAGCATATCAATAATTGGGTTTAATCCATTTCATTAAATTATTATTAACTTATTTGAAATACCACCAAGAATTCTAAATTATTATCAATCAAATCTGTTACTAAAGGGTCTTTAAATAAAAAATAACGGACAGCTCTCTTAAAAAAACTGAAAGAGGAATTAAAACTTCAAAATTCTTATTTAGTGAGGTAAGAATTTCAACAATGTGCTTAATTATTATGATTATTACTCATTTTCATAAATGTCTAAGCTGGTAGCTATTCCTTCTTAATTGTATGCTGTGTACAGATCATTCCCCCCTAAAATGTCATATTTTTATAAAAAAGAGCCATTAACAGCTGTCTAGAATATTGTACGAGTGTATAAATGAATATAAACACCTGGATCTGATCAGCATTCATTGTCAAGTTCAAGGCAGTCACCAACAACGGCACACATTTGGCAATTTGACGTACACTGAGAAGCAATTGCTGACGATGTTTCTTGTTAATGAGATCCTCTATTCGATCTCTCACTTGCTTTAAGCATGCAACAGCGTTCTCCACAAAAGCCTTCAACACAAAACAATTCTAGTCAGAGAATTTCAAAATGAGATAAAGAACAGGGTTAACCAACTTGACCAATTAGAAGCAAACATTTGGAAACTCAATTTCATCTTGTCAGCAAAAAGTACATCTTGAAAGAGCTTGTCATAAAATAATAAACAAATGAAATGTAAATGAGTTAAAATCCTCCACTTCAATCCTCCATTAAATACTGGAAAGGCATTTGCAGATTTTTATTTCTAAGACTGCCTTCCTCCACCTTACTATTGTCCGTCTGAACCAAATATGGGTTTTCATCGCTGAAATCAGTTTCGCAGAACTCTGTGGGGTGGTTTTGAATAGTTCGCCTAACTGCAGTCCTATTTGCGCGATTGGCCTTAACTAATCCATGTTTTTCGTGGCCAAACTTTCCTGTTGTAGCCAAGCGGGCTTCCTGCGAGGAGCGAGCTTCGACCGAGGATTCTTGCTTGATGTGATTGAACAATATTTCTTTTATCTCGTTCGTTGAGTATATGGTAGTTTCGGCCTTTACCGCTTTTACTAATTTAATCTGCGATCGTACTCGGAATTTGTCTCCTATAGTACCGCAGTAGTTGACTGGGTTTTTCGCACTGCCTTCCGCAGTTACTCGTAGTAATCGTCCGCTCATTATACAGTAAGTCTTTGTTGCTTGCACCGTCCGCGCTTCCCCTTCTCGGAAATTTTCCAATTCGTTGCTCTCAACAACCTGCCATCGTCTAATCTGCTCACTACTTTATGCCAGAAAAACATTCAAGGAGTATGTTTCAAAGCGCCGGCTTGTATGTACGTTCATTTCTCTGTATCGGTTATTTGCGGTAGCATACAAAATACTTTTAATTTTACCGTTTTAAGGGACATTTCGTCCTTGTAAAATCCCACGAACAGTTTTTCACGATTAAAAAAGAGCATGTGCCTGGAAAAGAGACGTATCTTACCTTAGTAATTCTATCTTAATAACCTGATAAAAACCCACACCCTGGCCGTACTTAGTAACTATCCTACCGCTAGCAGCAAAAAAAGAGAGCCTCAACAAAGTGTACTCAGAGTGAATTAGATTTTACAGGGGCAAAGGGGGGAGTCTGTTCAAAAGTCATCTTAGCACAGTGGCTTAAGTTCCACAGGGGACTGACAGGGCCATGGAACGTGGACCCCGAGGATTCGGGACCCGTTCAATTAAAGTTCCAATCCAAAACGAAATAATAAGTAAATTTTATCTGAAACTACTGTGTCATAAAATCAAAGAAGAAATAATGAAGTGCCGGATCGGGATTTCAAATAATTTAGAGAGACATGTCTTGCTTGGTGTTTTGATGAGCTCGTTGACTTCAAACCACTTAACTAGTGCAAGCAAAGTTTTGTGAGTGTCTTTCCTAGATGATTGTTGTGTTTTGCTTTGATCTGATTATGTTTGTCATCTGCATTCAGAAATTTTGTTATCCTTTAAAGCCCAAAGGCATAGTCATTTTGTATATTAGGATAGTATGGCTGAGCGAGCGATCCTTGCGGGACTCCAACAATTATTCATCTGAGAAGCAGAGTAGTAGGAGAGATTTGGTTTCTTTAGTGTGCTGAAGTGCAACTATTTGGCTAAAGTTCGAAAAGTATATTTCATCCAATTGGTTTGCAATGACTCGAATCCCTAACATAAAGTAGTAGCAAAGAAAACAAATGCCAAGTAGAATATTCAGTCAGGAAAATAGAAGAGAAATTTAGCAATAAACAGTTGAAGAAAATAAAACTAATATGGCAAAAACTGGCGAGAATGAACAATTCGCTGATGGCGAACAAAGTTTACAAAACTTAACATAAACTGTGGATACCTAGATATTCCCATTAATGAGTTGGACTAACGACTGTGTTGTTTATGATTGACACCATACAGTGGCGATTTTTGACAGTAAATCAGCACAAATTTTGATTAGATCTTTCTTGGCGATGAAATTTACAAAGCAGAAAGAACTTTCATTAAAATAACCCTGCAGAAAACATGTCACAGTTACTTGTTCGTTGCGCATTTGTTTAACGAATGAAATTTCAAAAACTAGATGTGTTAAAGATCTTGCAAACTTATTAAGAATGAACATTTTCATTATTAAACCAATTCTCTCCTGGTGAGTGTACAGTAATTGACATTATTTTTTGACACTTCCGTAATCTCTGCCGCAAAAAAAAAAAAAAAAAAAAGTTCAAAGTGCCCCAAAGAATGTTTTCAAAATTAAGCTGCATTACGAAGGGTTATAGCCACAAGACTGGTTGAAGAATTTTAGTCTTTTTATCAAATTAAGCACGAAAAAAACTTCTGATTGGAAAAAATATTATGTCTATTGTTATTAATAAATTGTAAATGCCGAAGAAAAGCAAAATTTAAATTATATTATGAAACTGCAAAAATTATAATTTATTTCCTTCTTACAGTTTAATTGTGAAAATGTTTTCATCCTAAATTTAGTTTAATCACAAATTAAATTAATTGACATTTCCTTAATTAGGGGCCCACATATCATTGTGTCGGGTCAAGGATCCTCTCTGTTGAACTTTAACGCCACTGTGCTTAAGCATTTGAGGAATCAAAGAAACTGGATTAAAATCTGGTCAAGATAGGTAGTGGTCAAATTGACAAGAAAGCTGAAAGTACAATTCTGGTGTTAGTACGTCTATACAGCATGAACACATTAATAATTGGACATACGTACTTATTAGCCCCTTTGAATTGCAAATAATATAACTAATCATTTATATTAATTATTAAAGTAAATTCATCACCAAAATTTTTACTTGGTCTTGAATAGAAATCGGTCAATGTATAGAAAAAATTTGATCTTGGACATTTAAGCTTGTATATCAATTTCAATTGTTATTACTTTTTAAATCAATCATACTGTTAAATTTCAAAAAATTTCAAAAACAAAGGATGTACAAAAAAATATATCAGTGGCTTACGAAGTGCATATTATTTCACTAAAAACTTCCTCAGAGATGGTATTTTCAATTGAGAACATCCTGAACAAAGGAAAACTGCAATTTTTTCTGGTTCCTGTGCACCACAATAATTATTTATGACACGAAACAGTAAAAGTGTTATTTCATTGACGAATAGGAAATGTTGTGACACAAGGCGTGATAGGTCGTGGCACAATCCTATGAAAAAATTAAAATCACTTTTTTACATATCTACCCATACACCATTTATTAACAGCCTTACCAGACTTTCCTTTTATTTTAATTCAAGTACACAAACCACGTAATAATACATTAATTTGTAGTTGTTGCAGTCAGACAAAATTATTTTGTTTCCTTTGTGTGCAGTCACAGATTATCTGACATTGTGAGGCATCATCTGACTGTAGCACTAGGGCTAAAATTGGCAAATTTGCATGATACAACATGCCCTTGAAAGAACCACTTTTACGAGTGGCTTGTCTAAATGTGGGTTCCTTCATTCATGTGCTCTTTGGCTTTTGAGACTGGCGTATTTTTTCTTTAACAGCTTTTAAGTCATCAATTCGTTGAAAAGTGATCTACCTCATGACTAAAACTTCGCTATCGAAGTACTGCCGTTATAGGACTCTTCAGAGATGACAAAAAGCGTCACTTGTGCATAATCCACAATCTGAAAGGCAGCAGCTTCACAGACAACAGCAAGTCATTCCTTTGCAAGCTTACTGTTGCTAGAACTGGCTGTCTCCTGAGTCTTTCCTGATGACAGTGTGTCAGCAGAGAGATGTCAGGTTCTCCAGAATGTCTTTATGAAACAGACAAAATCAATGATACTTCAGTTTTAATAATTTATGCCTTCAAGAATAACATTGAGAAAGTTTATCAAAAAACTTTAATAACCAAACGATACTGATTAAGATTTTCTTAAAAACACATTTTCTTTAAATTATTTTGCTCACAAAGAGCAAGGCTTGTTAATAATTTGGCATACATGAAATGATTTTCACCAAAACTTCTAGAAATAAATATTTAAAAATTAAATTTTTAGTTCAAATTTTGTTCTATTTCTTTCTACCTTGAAGCAGAGAGATTGCATTTATTAATTGCAACATATTCGTCAATATTCATCATCGTCATATACTGCAGGTAGCTAGCGCAAGGTCACCCATTCCTTTTTAGTCCTCCAGTGTTCCTGATCTAAACCATTTCTTTTTTGAGGTTTTCCCCTAGTCTCATTGCCCTCAAAGTTCCTCAATACTTATTTTTTTCTTCCTTTACTCATATTGGTGAATATTATACTCTATAAAAATGCACCAGGAAAGTTTCGCCGCACCAAGCTGAGTCAGGGCCTCTTATTTAAAATTGCAATTTATGTTGGTAGCACCACATTAACTTGGAAACAAGTGAAGGGACAACACTTTTAGCCTATGTTATTTGTGGCAAGTATGTTTTCTATGCCTTTCTTTGTTAAAGCTGCAGCTAGTGCTACCAAACCATAATTTTCTTGTTGCTAGCACTCTCATCCAGTATGCGTGGCCTGTGGGGGGAGACTTTCCCTGGCAAGCTGTATATCTTAAAAATCTTTGCAAATCTGGCGAAAAGCTGCTACCAGTAGCTTCAACAATGTCCAGCAAGCACAGCATCGCTAAGTGTGCACAATATGCAAGCAACATTAAATTGAGCGCTAATGATTCAATAAAATCTATACTTCTTTACAAGGTCTTTACACATTTCAAATTACACTTTTTCAAAATAAGTATTTTTTTCACTAATTGGGACATTTGTCTACAAATACATAAAACAAGTTTGTTCAAAAGAGTATAAAGTTTTACCCGAACCTTTTGGTTAGCGGCTGTTTTGTGAAATGAGCCGACGTAACATTGCTATTATTGTGGTGCACATTTTCATTAAAACTTTTGTAAATTAAAAAAAGGTCAGTATTAATTTTCAAATCATTTCATACTTAATTTAATTAGAGTTTTCAAGAAAACCGGTTGAAGTATTACTAGAATACAAATTGCAAACAGTATAATATTGTATACATTTAC